TCCGGTGGGTGTGGCCCCTAGGGCAAGTCAAAAAACCCTTGAAAAAGGTTTATTTTAACATTCAAGCTACATAGTTAATACATTGGTTATGTTACTACACATATATTCAAAACTCAAAACAATATGAACTGACCAAATATTTTGGGGGGTTTGTGGGGTCAGCTGCCCCTAAAAAGTCACCCAACATGGGCCAATTTTACTCCAAAAGCTACACATGCCAAATTAATACAGTATAAGAAACATTTCATGAGAAGATAAAAAACACAAAAACTGACAAAATATCTTGGTGGAAAAAGGGGGTCAGCTGGCCCCCAAAATCACTCCATTTTGTGACAAAGGGGTAAAATATTTTGACCCTAAAAGCTACATATTTCAAATATCTGTGTTATGAGGCTCAACCAACCTGAATCGTAATGGGATAAAAACTGACAAAAAATTCTAGTGGAATGATGGGGTCAGTTGCCCCCCAAAATTTGTCCCTTTAAAAAAAACTGACCATGACCTACACTGTTTATAATTATAGTGAATATAGATTATGTCAAATGTATTACAGAAAAACAACAACTGACAATATCTAGTGGTGGGAAGAGGGGGTCAACTGCCCCCAAAATCTGACCCTCTTTGGCCCTTATGGGTAAAAAAAACAATTAAATTTGGAGTACAGTCCTGAAATTTTGAGAATAGATAGATGATATACCAGAAATAATGAAAACATAAAAACTGACAATATCTAGTGGTGGGAAGAGGGGGTCAGCTGCCCCCAAAATCTGACCCTCTTTGACCCTTATGGGTAAAAAAAACAATTAAATTTGGAGTACAGTCCTGAAATTTTGAGGATAGATAGATGATATACCATAAATCATGAAAACATAAAAGCTGACAATATCTAGTGGTGGGAAGAGGGGATCAGCTGCACCCAAAATCTGACCCTCTTTTGCCCTAGAAGAGTCAAAGAACATCAAGACATACAAATACTCAAAAGAAACCGATGACATGCTGTCTTCATACAAATTTTCTAACTGGAAAGAATAGGAAGATAGCACAGTTTTGGTGCTATTCATTTGTATCATAGATACAGTCGAAGTGTCAGAATGGGACATTTAGATGAATACACAAATCCCTTACTGCAAATGTCTAGCTATTTCTTGTCCATCCGTCGGTTAACTATCACAACAATTTGCTGGTACTTAAGGATTCGCATCCTGAAATATATGAGTTCAGAAATGGACAGTTTTCTGTAAAAGGACTGAAAAGAAGCCATTTTCTGGCAGTCTTGTGGACCCAACATTGGAGCAAACAATTAACAAAGATGCTGCCAGTCAAAGATCAGGCATAATAGCCCTAACCAACTCAACATCAGCAAGGCAAAGATGGGCAGAATCCCACTTTATTCAGACATCAATCTTGTCAAATATGTATCAAAAGCTTGGAATAGACAAGAAAGAAGACTTTTCAAATGGTCTAAAGGCATGTAATGAAGAAAGACAATAAAACAGTCGAAGCCAATATCGCCATGACTAGAGAAACTAGGAATCCTTTCAACGATGAAATAGATCTGAGCCACTTCTACAATATCGATACTGGTAAGACGGCTCCTGAACAGGTGGAGAAATTTTTACTTAATATAAAAGATATAGGTGAATCTGGAAGGCTGAATGTCAAAGTGATCCAAATAATTTTCTGGAAAAGATTACTCGTCAAAAGTTAGGTACATTAATTTGCAACAACAGGAAAGCAACTTCAGTGTACAGATAAAAAGTCAAGTAGATGGAACAATGATGAAAACACCAAAGTCTGCTCTTATGCAATATCTAGAGACTAAGATTGCATCAAAGACTCAACAAGTTGATGCTACAGTAATTGATGCTTCATTCGTCGTGTACCTGCTACCAAATGCTTTCCTTCCAACAAAATTTGGTGGTGTGGTGTCTCATCACACATATTGTGGAAGATTATTTCTTCAGATGGTGATGAAATTCATTTTGTTTCCGACAAGTGGCTATCTCCATCTATCAAAGATTGTGAAAGAACTACAAGAGATGGGTCGGTGGATAATTTCCAAATAACTTGTGGAAATCAGAGACCAGGCAATTGGAATAGTGCACTACGTAATGCCATTTTCAAAGAATCGCTTATAAAATATCTAGTTGCAAGCTGGTCAGAGGATAGCAATGCAAAATATATTGGGAAGAAGATCTTGTATGCAAACAATGGAGAAATATGCTATTGATGGTTATTCAGTCATTAAAGCAGAGGCACCAACTTTTTCCTGTAATCACAAAGAATGAAATTTAGCATGAATGGGCAAAAGACTGTTGTTATGAGAACAAATGACACTGGTTGCTTGGTGATTGGCCTTGGATCATACTGAAGGCATACAGCAGACACAATGTCAGTAATTGAAAAGTTCACATGTATGGTAAGAAGAAGCGTGATCTATAAATGACGTACGGTTACAGATCTTCCTCGAAATGTACAAAACTTCTGGTAAATCTGATAACGCAAGAATAAGTTGTTTGGTAAAGATGGACGGTGTCCTGCCCCCATGCCAGAAAGTCCTGACCCAGAAAATAAAACATGCACACCTCATTGCTTACAGGTGGAATTCTGTTACGCTTGCTCAGCATAGTCCCATCTCACCTGTTGAGCCTGGATGGACAATGGAAAATGATAGCTACATCATTATGTGGGCAGAAGGTGAATTGCACCATAAAACTGTTGATGTAATGCAGTGTTGTGAGAGATTATCCGATGAAGAAGATGACAATGATAGTATAGACAAGTTACAAAATCATAAAATTTCAATCGTTCACCATGAATTTGAGAATATTTGAATTATGCACTCACTCTGCTTGACAATGATAATGGACTATTGAGGCATGGCAGAAGATGACATCAGTTCTGAGTGAAAAAACTATGTTTCAAATATTTTTATATTCCAGATGATTCTACAGAGGAGGCATCTTATGGTAGTGATTCTGATGATACGAATGATGATGAAAGTGATGCCAGTAGTAGTGATAGTAAAAATGCATCTAAATTTGTTTGTGAACACAATAAGGGACTATATTTTTGAGATAATGCCCTTGACTTAGTAAAAAAGCTTCACAAATTGTTTGTAAATACCGTAGAATCTACAGTTTTCATCTGATTTTAAAGAAATCATATAACAATGAATGAGTTCTTGGTCAAGTTCGAATTTTATGATTTTTTGATTACGGTTTTTGAGTTATTGCCTTTGTAAAAACTTTGTTTTTGAACACAATCCGATTTAAATGAAATCTGGTGTGATCAGGTATAAAAATGTGATCTTGCTCATGTTCGAATTTGATGATTTTTTTATAATGGTTTTTTGACTTATTGCCCTTGAACACAATAGAAACTACAGTTTTTATCTGATTTTATAAAACACAATTACTTTAAATGTGGGTTGTGAACTCGATAGAGGTTACAATTTAAGTCCACAAATTAACAATATCTTGAGGAAGAATTTTGGTACAATCTGACTGATTGAAGAGTGCCCTTGATATACTTGATAATTTCTTAGGGAATTTGGGGAATCTTGATAGGCACCTTGTTTTTACCCATAAGGGCAAAAGAGGGGCAGATTTGTGGAGCAGCTGATCCCCTCTTCCCACCACTAGATATTGTCAGTTTTTATGTTTTCATGATTTATGGTATATCATCTATCTATCCTCAAAATTTCAGGACTGTACTCCAAATTTAATTGTTTTTTTACCCATAAGGGTCAAAGAGGGTCAGATTTTGGGGGCAGCTGACCCCCTCTTCCCACCACTAGATATTGTCAGTTTTTATGTTTTCATTATTTCTGGTATATCATCTATCTATTCTCAAAATTTCAGGACTGTATTCCAAATTTAATTGTTTTTTTACCCATAAGGGCCAAAGAGGGTCAGATTTTGGGGGCAGCTGACCCCCTCTTCCCACCACTCGATATTGTCAGTTGTTGTTTTTCTGTAATACATTTGACATAATCTATATTCACTATAATTATAAACAGTGTAGGTCATAGTCAGTTTTTTTACCCCTTGTGGGAAAAAGGGACATATTTTGGGGGGCAACTGACCCCATCATTCCACTAGAATTTTTTGTCAGTTTTTATCCCATTACGATTCAGGTTGGTTGAGCCTCATAACACAGATATTTGAAATATGTAGCTTTTAGGGTAAAAATATTTTACCCCTTTGTCACAAAATGGAGTGATTTTGGGGGCCAGCTGACCCCCTTTTTCCACCAAGATATTTTGTCAGTTTTTGTGTTTTTTATCTTCTCATGAAATGTTTCTTATACTGTATTAATTTACATGGGTAAAATTGGCCCATGTTAGGTGACTTTGTAGGGCCAGCTGACCCCACAAACCCCCCAAAATATTTGGTCAGTTCATATTGTTTTGAGTTTTGAATATATGTGTAGTAACATAACCAATGTATTAACTATGTAGCTTGAATGTTAAAATAAACCTTTTTCAAGGGTTTTTTGACATACCCTAGGGGCCACACCCACCGGATCTGTACCAGCTGACGTACATTTTTTCAATGTCTGTTATAGTCCTAATTCATTAAAACCAAACCTTCTGGGTTTTTTGGGGTAAAATCACCCGTAGCTAGCTCTTGGACTAAGTGTCATGCCTTAAGTTAAGGTGCACCGTTGCCTAATTTACCAACTTTTTATCCAAATTTCTTCAAATCTGATACGTATGTGTAAAATCAAAATCTGAATGCGCATGTACATTACCAACTTTCCTTTTTCTCATCCAAATTTGATCATACTTAGTATTTATGTGTATAATCAAATTCTAAATTTTTGCGTGCTTTGTTCGGTTAAGAGTGTGTCATAAAAAGCACAGAAACGAAAGAGGCATAATTTATTCCATTCATTTTCGGGCCGTTATAACCACGAAAGAGAAATAGGTAATTTCATTTACGTTCTAGTCATATTTGCATATGTTTAGATAATAAACATTGATTTTTCATTTCTACTTACTGACACTGAATGTTAAACATAGCTGTAACATTTCCTGTTGTTTCTGCCATACCACGTCGTATTAAATCATATGCTGCCTTTTTGCAATCACTGTTTCTATTCATTTGTTTATTCATACAAACGGCATTGGCTTCTATATCTACAACACGAATTGGACAACAACATTAACTACTGTCACGGTCTTTGGTTATAGAGACACCGTAGCAAACAGTAATTTCATAAGTTACATGCAAATTGTAATAAATATGTGAAAAAACGGTGGGTGTAAAATTCCGAATTCCCGAATTGTCCGAATTTGGTCAGAAAAGACAAAAAAATCTAAACTAAAATTGCGCAAAAGGTTTTGCACAAATTCGGCAATCAAAACATTTTACATCAAAAAACGAATATTTTTAAAATCTTTCATTTGGTCAAAACACAATATTTTTTCTTTTTACGTGTACACAGTGCTAATTTATAATGATGCCGTCTAGGAATTGATATTTTTGATTTTTAATAAATATCATAGCTATTGTTTAATGGACACTTTTTGTTGTTTTGTGATCGAAGGCGTCTTCCCATTATCTCCCTTAAATAGTAACCATGACATGTCAAGGTGACGACACAGTTTAAATCTAAATAGTTACCAAAAGTTTGAACTCTTCGTTCTTGCTGTTCCTCACAACCAGGCAACAGAGGCGCAGCCAAAGAGGTAGGGGGAGGGGGGAATGTGGTCGTATATTGCCGTTTGTTTGTTTGTGAACACAATAGAGACTACAGTTATCATCCAATTTAAATTAAATTTGGTGTGAACACTATAGAGAGTCCATTTTTTATCCCATTTAAATTAAATCATCTATAATGATGAGGTCTTAGTCAAGATTGAATTTGACGATCAATGAATTTGACTTATTGCCCTGGACAGTTAATGTCAGAATTTTATTAAATAATGTGTGTTTGTTTAAAACAACAATAGCTTGCACAAATTAGATTTTTTGTAGGATTTGACACAGATGGGTGACCGCTCTTGATATACTGAAAATGTATCAGGAAAGTGGGCGTATCTTGCTAGGCAACCACTTGTTACTTTTATTATAGTATACCCGTAACCTTTACCAGTTAGGCTTAGCAGCTCTTTTTTTAGACATACTTCTATGGATATAGCATGGAGGAGTAGTACTAGTAGTTGAATCCCACTGTGAGTGTGATTTCCTAAAAGGTCTATAACAGGTTTTCACTACATGCCACGTAGCTGTAGAGGTGTGTTTCCAATCTTCTCTCGCAGCCTTATCGATCAACAAATAATCTGAATTGGGAAGGAGACAAGGGTGGGGAAGATGTTGCCTGGTTGTGGGGAACAGCAACCTTGACATGTCATGGTTACTATTCAAGGATAATGGGAAGACGCCTTGGATCAGAAAAAGTGTGCATTGAATAATAGCGATTACATTTATTAAAAATCAAAAATATTAATTCATAGACGGCATTATTATTAACTAGCACGGTGTACACGAAAAATAAAGAAAGAAGTTGTGATTTCACCAAATGAAAGCTTTTAAAAATATTCGTTTTTTGATGTAAAAAGTTTTGATTCCCGAATTTGTGCACGACCCTTGGCGCAAATTTAGTTTCGTTTTTTTTTTTTGTCTTTTCTGACCCAATTCGGACAGTTCGGACAGTTCCGGAAATCGAAATTTTAAACCCACCGTATGAAAAATATTTGAAAAATGTCTATCGCCGATATATCTAGAGAATAGACATTTACATGGCGAGACGTGTTTATAAAGTTCATGTATTAATTATTACTATTTCAACTTTAATCTCATGACTGAAATAATTTCGTGTCACAAATATACACGTCAGCCTAATTTGGTTCATGTGGTGAAAATAATTTTAATTCTTATACGAAAAAGTAACAATTTTTTTCCAGGAAAGTATAATGACCCTTAATCTGAAATTATACATAATTTACCTTCTATATTTTCACAAAGATGAGGGACACTAGATCTGACTTTATCAGGGTTAATTAACTGGTGTAAAACATCGGATTTTGTCTGATTACGACACTGATCTAATAATTTATCAACACAAACTAGAAACAAACTCATGTGACCATCCCTACAATTTGAGAATACATAATAATCATAACAATTTATTATTTTTCAGTCAGTTTTTATTTAACCTTAAATATAATACATTAATTAAAACCAACCGATGCCGAATTACGAACCATTATATACCTTTTATATACAAATTTCGTAGTTAAGTAAAATAAATATAAAATGTAAAAAAGAAAATTAATAAAAATAATATCTCACAGTTCGTATTCTAACATTAACTAAATATGTTAAGATTCGTTCGTTGGATATGAAAAAAGCACATTTCTCTACATTATTAAAAGTTCCGACTTTGTTACATGAAACATTTCTGATATAAGTATGAATTACAATTAAAAATAAAATGGTCCTCATTTTCAACTTCAATACATGTACTTATAAAACACATCTCAAATACCAAGGGTAATATTCAACAAGCCTCAAATAAATAACCTAATACCATTTATATCAAAAGTTCCTGTATAAATAACTCAACGACAAACTGTTTCAAAATCTTACTTTTCACAATATTCTCTGATTCTCTGATAATCTAAAGGTAGATCACCAGCCAGTGATACTTTATCATCTTTGCTAACACCTGATGCTAAGTCTGCAAAGCAATCCTGAGCCTTTTTGATGATGTCATTCGGACAACACTTGTATGGTTCTGTGAACATAAATCCTACAAAATGTACAGAAGAATTATAAAAATATTCATTGCCAATAACACAATTTATAATGTTAACTTGTTTAAATTTCAATGCATTAAATAAAGGAAAGAGTGGCCTAAATTGGACAAATTTAAGCCCATATGCATCCAAATGAATTGTGGAGAACATATTGATAAGTGTGATGTCATTGATGCATTGACTGACAAGCTATCTTAAGAGAACACAATTACTATGGTATAGTGTATTAAGATTTATATTTATTTACAGAACATTTAGTCCATTTCTTTTTAGAATGATTACGCACGATTTGCCTTTTTGTTCCCTAATGAGATAAAAAAAAAACTTGTAAGATCTCTGTTATTGCCCCATGAGATACCAAAGTCTTTCGCCGTTGGAGGCTAATGTTAGTTGCTACCAACAACTATCAAAGGATAAAATGTCACTTATATGCTACAGCTATTATATGCAATTATACTGCTCTTAACAGCTAACAAAGTGAGTATCATGTCATTGTCACTGGACCAATGACGTATGTAAATGATTATAGTTATTGTAGTTATTTATAGACGTCATTGCACTGAACCATTATATTAGGTAGCATCAAGTCATTAACACCTGTAACAATAACGATAGTTACAATAGCCTTATACTACCGGTGCCCAGTGACAATAGCCTTTTACTATAAGTGGTCGTGTAACCAGTTGGTTCGTTTTGCCGTATTGCCCAACTTGGCATCGTGCCCAAGGGCACAAAACGACTTGTAAAACGAAACTAAAGGTTTCTGATAAAATCCGGAATAGCCATTTGTTTCACATGAAACGAAATATTTTAATCTGTTGTCCCACATCGATTTTCTTTTTATTTATAATTTGGACCTGTTAGGGAAATCGAAACTATAGTTTTATGGTAAAATCTGGAATACAATAAATATCAAGTACAAACGCTTAGAATCGTAATACAAAAAACAAAAAAACGAACCCACGGTCAAATAACAATACTTTGAAACTATCAGTGATTCAGTAGCCACGGAACAAAATTACATGTGTCCAAAAACAACAACCTGGATCTACCGATGGTCCAGTAAAAAAAGCCTTTATGCTACCAGTTGCCAAGTAACATCAACCCATTGCGATCCAGAAGCTATAGGTACGTAATTGGGTAATTATAGTTTTAGTTAATTGTACGAATAGCAGGCACTGTACTCCCTTTTGTTTCAAAGCTTGTATTACAGCTAGCGAGACCCGAGTGATAGCCCCACACACTGAAACAGACTTTCGCATTTAAGAGAACTGAAACATACATTCACGCCCACAAATGTTTACACACCAACAATGTGAAAGACAACATCAGCATCTGTTATTCATTCTTCCTTATGGCCATATTCTGCCCTTATCTCCACTGAACACTGAATTAATTCAGTATGAAGAGGTAAATTTCGATAAGCCATGATGATAGAAACTGTTTAGTTACTGTCATGAGTATCCTGTTTATTGATTAGACAATCTAATGATTGTCAGGAAACAATAAGACAGTCTTAGTATAAGTGTCAATATTATCTATGAGAATGTATAAAATAAATAGCTATCCTACTGATTTTTTTTTATGAAACCGGCGTAGCTTCTTGTTGTATTTATTAGATGCAAAAGTCATCCGATGATTTATAAACCTTAGAGTTATCCCGATGAGGCATCTTGCCTCGAGGGGCGTACTCCCGCATTCAACCAATTCATGGAACAATATCAATCATGATGAACCTAAACTCATAAGAAAACTCTCACGCGAAAAATGCAAGAGACATCATCATCTGAACATTCTGGCATGAACCTTATTGGTGAAAATTGTTGAGAGTTAGACCCGTTTAGACCAGGCCGCTATAATATGTGCCCATTTACATTTTAAAAAAAATCAAATTGTCTGAAAATCGTTCTCGGCACGCTTATCTGTGGAACTCTAATTGAACTATATTTCTTCTAGTCACCCGTAAACAACATAGGCACCGAAGGAGAAATAGTAAAGTAGTAAACCGCTCTGATCTGGAAACCATTCAAACTTCTTGCTAAATAGGCCTACCAATGTGTTTATATATTTTACGAGATTTTAGAATGTAACCCAATAATGTGATATGGTATTCGTCTTTTTACCAGGAATATAAAAAAATATGTTTTCATCAACCCTTCAATAAGATTAATTAGATTTGTAAAGAAATGTAAGACGTAATAAATAATAATCTAATCTTACCGATTAAAAGATATATAAATATCATTTTCACACAATGTACACAAACTATCCTAAAATTGTTTCCAATTTATCAAGCACTGTTGGAGGTCAGAAGGTAACTCAACAATTGACAAGTGAAATTGAAAGTACAAAAACAAGACCCAATCAAGATTTATTTATTTTGTAAAAATTTCTAATGTTTGTTGTTACCTTCGAGTTTGTTGATCACAAATAAAGCCAAGTCAACAGAATGGATTAAAAGGGTACAAGAGATACGTCAATTAAACAATATTCTATCAAAACAGCTTTTTTTCTAGCGAAATCCGTCACTTAAAATGACAAAATTTCACGATCTTTAAATCCTTGAAGATAGCATTTAATGCAGACATGCATGACACAGTCGCAACATTTATTGTTTTATTCACTTTTACAACGACGGTTCGAAATGTTTTATTTGGAAATAAATGCAGAATATTTGTATCAATATTTACAGAAATTCATGGCGCACTTGACAAATAGATGAGATTAAATACCTCAGAAGAAATAAAAATTTAGTGACATAGAATACATTCTACATGGATGCAATATGCCACAAGGAAAGAAGACAGAGATCATAATATTAGACAGAATTAATATAGAGAAGAGTAATAGAAGAAGTATTACTATAGCGAAGAGTAATAGAAGAAGTATTATTATAGCTAAGAGTAATAGAAGAAGTATTATTATAGAGAAGAGTAATAGAAGAAGTATTATTATAGAGAAGAGTAATAGAAGAAGTATTATTATAGAGAAGAGTAATAGAAGAAGTATTATTATAGAGAAGAGTAATAGAAGAAGTATTACTGTAGAGAAGAGTAATAGAAGAAGTATTATTATAGAGAAAAGTAATAGAAGAAGTATTATTATAGAGAAGAGTAATAGAAGAAGTATTATTATAGAGAAGAGTAATAGAAGAAGTATTAATATAGCGAAGAGTAATAGAAGAAGTATTATTATAGAGAAGAGTAATAGAAGAAGTATTATTATAGCTAAGAGTAATAGAAGAAGTATTATTATAGAGAAGAGTAATAGAAGAAGTATTATTATAGCTAAGAGTAATAGAAGAAGTATTATTATAGCTAAGAGTAATAGAAGAAGTATTATTATAGAGAAGAGTAATAGAAGAAGTATTATTATAGAGAAGAGTAATAGAAGAAGTATTATTATAGCTAAGAGTAATAGAAGAAGTATTATTATAGAGAAGAGTAATAGAAGAAGTATTATTATAGAGAAGAGTAATAGAAGAAGTATTATTATAGCTAAGAGTAATAGAAGAAGTATTATTATAGCTAAGAGTAATAGAAGAAGTATTATTATACAGAAGAGTAATAGAAAAAGTATTACTGTAGAGAATAGTAACAGAAGAAATATTATTATAGAGAAAAGTAATAGAAGAAGTATTATTATAGAGAAGAGTAATAGAAGAAGTATTATTATAGAGAAGAGTAATAGAAGAAGTATTAATATAGCGAAGAGTAATAGAAGAAGTATTATTAAAGAGAAGAGTAATAGAAGAAATTTTATTATAGAGAAGAGTAATAGAAAAAGTATTATTATAGAGAAGAGTAATAGAAGAAGTATTATTATAGAGAAGAGTAATAGAATAAGTAATATTATAGAGAAAAGAAATAGAAGAATTATTATTATAGAAAAGAGTAGCCTGATAGAAGATGTATTATTATAGCGAAGAGTAATAGAAGAAGTATTATTAAAGAGCAAAGTAATAGAAGAAGTATTATCATAGAGAAGAGTAATAGAAGAAGTTTTATTATGGTGAAAAGTAATAGAAGAAGTATTATTATAGAGAAAAGTAATAGAAGAAGTATTATTATAGCTAAGAGTAATAGAAGAAGTATTATTATAGAGAAGAGTAATAGAAGAAGTATTATCATAGAGAAGAGTAATAGAAGAAGTATTATTATAGAGAAAAGTAATAGAAGAAGTATTATTATAGAGAAGAGTAATAGAAGAAGTATTATTATAGCGAACAGTAATAGGCTTCGAAGGAGAAATAGTAAAGTAGTAATAGAAGAAGTTTTATTATAGAGAAGAGTAATAGAAGAAGTTTTATTATGGTGAAAAGTAATAGAATAAGATTTATTATAGAGAAGAGTAATAGAAGAAGTATTATTATAGAGAAGAGTAATAGAAGAAGTATTACTGTAGAGAAGAGTAATAGAAGAAGTATTATTATAGAGAAGAGTAATAGAAGAAGTATTATTATAGCGAAGAGTAATAGGCACTGAAGGAGAAATAGTAAAGTAGTAAACCGCTCTGCGATGTGGAAACCATTCAAACTTCTTGCTAAATAGGCCTACCAATGTGTTTATATATTTTAGAGAAGAGTAATAGAAGAAGTAATAATATAGAGAAAAGAAATAGAAGAATTATTATTATAGAGAAGAGTAGCCTGATAGAAGATGTATTATTATAGCGAAGAGTAATAGAAGAAGTATTATTAAAGAGCAAAGTATAGCCAATTTCGGTTATTACGCCAATCTGGACCCTAACCCTGGGACCAAATTCATTTTGATCTTTGGTTGAGAGCAACAACATTACATGGGTCTATGGCAAATAAAACCCCACCTCCTTTTAATAGTCAGTTAGGTTGCAGACGTAAAAGATGCAAGTATTCACACGTTTGCAGCAAATGTGGTTATAACCACCCTCTTTACCGATGTTATAGTAATAGACAAGATGGATCAAGTAGTAGTATGTCAAATTTTCAATTTCCGCTCAACACCAATCCCATTTTAACTTCTCAAATGATAGGTGCTAATAATAATTTTAAACTTCCAAATATTAACTCATTTCCACTTTCTGCTTCTTCTATACCACCCTTAATGATGACACAACCGCCACCAATACCAGACCCACAAGCTCAATCCCGTTATTCATTTCGCAAGAACAATTCGTCCGGTAAAACTTCCAACCCCAGTAAATCCAAGTAATTTGGACAGCCTTTTAGTTGGCCATGACCTTGAAGAAAGAATTTTTCTGAATAAAGGATTTACAAAGGGGTTTGTGATTCCTTATTCTGGAAACAGACATCTTAGGATTTCAAGAAATAATCAGTCTTGTATTGATAATTTTGAGGTTTTGCTAGATAAACTGCAGAGTGAGCTTGTTGCTGGTCGGATATTGGGTCCTTTTCTTAAACCTCCATTCCCTGACTTGCTCACCACTGGGAATTGTTCCCAAACAAGAGAAAGGTAGCTTTCGCTTAATTCATGATTTATCCTTCCCTGTTGGTGATTCCGTAAATATGTTTGTTTGCCTTCAGAGAAAGTATAAAAAATTCGAACATTATTATATAACACTCTTAAAAGACATAAAATCACCCTTCGTGAATTGCAGTCACTTCTTGGTCTATTGAATTTTACAACTTTAGTAGTTGTCCCTGGCAGAACTTTTCTCAGACGTCTTTATGATCTCACTTTGAATGTCCCTAATCCAAATGATGCCATCGTCATTACCAATTCAGCTCGTCTCGATTTGAGAATCTGGTCTGAGTTTATGACCAGCTTCAATGGCAGATCAATGTTTTTGAATGACAAGTGGGTAGGATCTGATATTATAAAGATGTTCTCAGATGCGGCAACAACCAAAGGCTATGCTGCAGTCTTAGGATCCAAATGGCTTTATGGAGAGTGGCCTCAAGAAATGAAAACCCTTTCTATAAATGTCATGGAATTGTTCCCAATTGTTGTAGCCATTGAACATTGGGGTTATCTCCTTAAAAACCATAAGGTCCTTCTTCTGACAGATAACGAATGTGTTATGTACGTCATTAATAAAGCTACGTCACCCTGTTCTTCACTAATGAAGTTAGTCCGTAGATTGGTCATGGCCTCGATCAAACATAATATAATGCTCCGTGCTAAACATATCCCAGGTAAATCCAATTTGGTTGCTGACCATTTATCTCGATTTAATTTTCAGCTGGCTCGAGCTTGGGCACCATGGTTAGACCCTACACCTCAGATGATAGATTCAGCCCTGTTAAAGATTTAAGCTCTGGTGCAACTGCTCTTCTTAATGAAGCCTTAGCTCCATCTTCTAGGTCAGTTTATATGAGGACTTGGAGAAAATTCCTTGATTTTTGTAAAAGTAAAGGTTTAGAACCATGTTTTCCAATCCCTAACTCTTTGATTTGTAATTATATGGCATTCCTTTTTGAATCTGGATTTTCACCTAGCTCTTTGGCTACCCATGCTTCGGCCATCTCCTATATTCAGAAATCTCAGGGTTCTCCTGATACCATAAATTCCTTCATGCTGAAAAATCTTCTAAAGGGTGCAAAGCGTGGTTCTCCAGACTCTAGGTTACCTATCTCACATATAATTTTATTCAAATTGGTTACAGCAATTCCATTGGTTGTTTCGTTAAAATGTCATTGTTTGGTTCTGAAGGCCGTTTTTGCTTTGGCATTTGCAGGATTTTTTCGGATTGGTGAACTAGTGTTAAAATCTGCCAATACAGCTTTAAATGTGATACAAACATCCTCTGTTCATTTTAATGTTGACAATAATAAATTGTCTTCAGTTCAAATTTCACTTAACCATTTTAAACACAAGACAACAGATGGTCCTGGTTTGATTGTCATAAATTGTGAGTGTTCAGTGAATAGTTCCATTTCTTGCGCATCCTGTGCGATGTTGGCTTATCTACAAGCTTGTCCCCATGCATCTGGACCATTTTTTCAGTTTCATGGTGGAGCCCCTGTAACTTATAACGTTGTCAACTCTTACCTTCGTAAATTGATTTCATTTTTAGATTTGAACCCTGCTCTTTATAAACTGCACTCATTCCGAATAGGGGCTGCCTCAACAGCTTTTTCTAAAGGTTATTCTGAGGATGCTATTCAGAGAATGGGGCGCTGGAAGAGCTCTGCAGTCAAATCTTACATACATGTGCCAAATTTATCCATTTAGGTCTATTTTCAGATTCGTGATTTTTAAAGTTTTATAGTTTGGGCGGGGGTCTAGGTTTGCAACTTTGTTTATCATTTATAAATTCCTACTTTTATGTTTGATTTTAGTGCACACATTGCAGGGAATACGGATTGTGCCCTGGAGTGTAGAGCTATTTCACTGTTGTATTCTGAATTTGGGTAGCCGCTCTCAGACGTTTTAGATTTGAAAAAGTCTATTTCTACATCCAGGGCTCGTTGTGGGTCCTTTGCATCCTATCTATGATCAGTAACTGTGTCCAAGGTTTGCTTGTTGGTGTGATGTGTCTTGGTTTGAGCATGTCATCACAAATGGTGATGTGTCTGGCATGATTAATTTTCTCATTAAGCCCAAACTATATTTTATGTTCCAAGAAATATGAGTTTCACTTTATCTTACATTTATGTATCAATTCATGTAATCTTTTCAATTGCTCAAATCATATTTCTCATATCATTGAAATAAATGATATTCACACCTACAAGCATATCTTTTATCTGGAGAGGAGAGGCACCTCAAAATTGCCTGACTATTCCTAGGGTTCGTCAGTCTGGGGGTTGAGAGACATAAATTCTTTTTTGACATCTATCACCCGATTTTTTTAGCCGCCTATAAGACAAGAGAATGCATTTCAAGTGCCATTCTGGACCACTTGGCTGTCGATTGAAATAAACCCAAGCGAGGACAAACGAGAAAAAATTTAAGAATTAATGAGACAAAAATTTATTTCTATTTTTATTACTTTAACATTTACAGAATCTTCCAAAAATTTTTCGGCGACTCAGCGAAAATGACATTAAAGTGTTAATTTAGTATAAATTTGATTTTGGTAATGTGAAGGGGACAAATTATAGCTACTCTCCCCTACTCTTGCATGTGACCTTTACCTACGCGAGTTATCTCATCTTGTCTTCTTGCACGAGCTCATCATGGCTGCTGCGCGCCTGCAATCTCTGCAAAAAATGAATTAGATGAAGACGATGACGAGATAACATTCCGAAATGGTTCTGAGGAAGCAATCCTTACTCCTATCGCCACAAGGGAACTCAGAAGTAATGATGATACCAATAATGGTGAGCTCAATTCTCTTCGTGAACAGATACAAGAGTTGCGGTTTCAACGATCCAAAATGTCTCTTGAAAAGCAAATCAATAAAGAAAGACAAGAGATTCTTATGTTGCAATCTGAATCAACGCACACCTCAACTCATCCTACGGCATCTCAACTAAGCCAGCAATTATTGTCCAGTTCAACAGACAGTGACAGGACAGAAGGTAGGAGAACTAAAGCCTGTCAAATTTATGACTTTATATGGGATGATCCCAGTTATAGAGATGATAGTGATGACTTTGTTTCCTTTCAAAAAGATGGTTCACTAACTGTGAATAAGAAGAATAGGCCTAGATATGACAAACTTTCAATAGAACAATGGGGATACGCTAATTCCAAAATTATGGAACGTTTGATTAATGATGGCTCTCTTTCTACCACTATTCAAATTATGGGATACATGGAATATACAGAGTCGGTTTTTCGTTTGTTCAGTAGATATTTAAAAAGTAGTGTCTTGATGTTTGATAAAGAGTATCGCGAATTGCAAAATAAACTGAAATTCAAATGGGGAACTGTGCGACAAGACTTACATAATTTCCAACTTATTGCCAAAACACCTCTTTCTGGAGAGGCATCACAGAAAAAGTATCGCGATTCATCTTACTCTGTAAATTCAAAAGAATTCCAAAGTCGTCATCGGGGACCAACTACTCCAACAGGGAAGGAAATTTGCATAAAATTTAATTCAGAAACTTGTGACAGAGCTACCTGTAAATTTCAGCATTGTTGTTGTTTATGCCACTTAGAACATCCAGCTATTAAACATGGTTCAACATGGTTCATAAATTTACCGAGGGGTTAATCAAGTGCATAATATGATTAATAGTGATTTGAATTTGGCAGCGTCGCAGGAGTTACTGCCCTTCAATGACTCATCACGCTTGTTTATTTTGGAAGGCATTCGGGATGGTTTTACTTTGATTGATACTACTGATAATATCGAATCGGTGGAATGCGACAATTATAGATCAGCGAAACCATTTAATGATTAAGTCGAGCAGCAAATTTTAACTGAAATCCAGCATGGTAATTACATTGTAAGTCCTACAAAACCAAACAATAAAGTGCGTTTAATTCATGATGCTAGTAGACCCCCCGGTAAATCTTTAAATGACTATGTAGATCTAGATACAACGTCTTGCTCGTATATGGATCTCAATGTGGCCCGAGAACTTATAATCCAAGACTGTAACATTGCCAAGGTTGATCTACAAAATGCATATAGGTCTGTCAGTATTCAAAAATCAAATTATTCAGTTACTGGATTAAAATGGACCTTTAAAGGTGATAGCCACCCGACTTATTTTTATGATACTAAGCTACCGTGTGGCGGGGCCAAAAGCCCAAAATGTTTTCAGACATTGAGCAGTGCAGTATGCAGGATCATGAAGTCAAAGTTCGATATTATAGTTATAGCCTATTTGGATGACTTTTTGGTGATAAGCCCAACATTTGATGAGTGTGTTTCTGCTTTGATTATTGATTGTTCTTCGTACTTTGGGATTTCCCATAAACTGGTCTAAAGTTTGTGGACCTAGCACATCTCTTGTCTTTCTAGGAGTGCTAAAAAATACTGAGTAAATGACCTTTTCATTGCCCTCTGAGAAGCTGTCAGATTTCAAAGTTCTATTAGCCACTTTTGCCTTACGTAAACGTGCTAGCAAACACCAATTAGATGTTTTGTGTGGTAAGCTTAGCTGGGCTGCGCAGATAATATGTGGAGGATTTTGAAAGGTTCTCTGTATCTTGGTTCCCATAAAGTAAAATTAAGTGCAAACTTTTATCAAGACATTAACTGGTGGTTACATTTTTTAGAATACTTTAATGGCAGTATGAAGACTTTGGACAACAGACCAGTGAATTCAATCCAGACTGATGCATCATTGCACGGCGCAGGTGGCTATTTTGAAGGAGACTATTATTATTCCAACTGGAATCTAGACCTACCTTTTATGTCCCATGAACATATTAATGTAAAGGAGGTTGCTGCCATTTTCTTGGCTTTAGTAAGGTGGTGTCATGTGTTACAAAATAAACAAGTTATTATTCATACAGATAATGTTGTAGTCAAGTCGGTGATTAATAAAGGATCCTCTAGAAACAAGACTATCATGTGGCTTTTACGACATTTATTTTGGCTCTCTGCCATATATAATATATCTGTTCATGCGGTTTACATCCCAGGAATTAACAATACCATTGCTGATGCATGTTCCAGGCTGCATGAACCAGCTATGTTTGATAAACTCTATACTCTTGTGCCTTCTCTTACCTTATCACAGTTTTCACTGAATGAACTATTGTGTCAGATGTCTTTACCATTTATATTTTGCAGATGCTTTATCGATAAGGGAGGGTCTAGCTAGCACTGTTTTACACTTGAAGAGGAAAGCTTGGTCTTTGTCCACAAAGATCACATACCTAGCTCAATTGAAAGTTTATGAAGACTTTTGTAGCATTTACTGTTTTGAACCCATACCTGCAACATCTAAATGTCTCCAATTGTATATTGCTTTCCTTTTTCGAGTTAAATTGTTTAAATTTGCTACTGTGAAGCAATATCTGAATATTGTATCTTTGTTGCATAAGGCTGAGGACGTACCAGACCCAGTTTGTAACGATTGGAATGTTCTTAGGTGTGAAACGAGAATTAGGTATGGCTCAGTCTCATGCATTTTCCATTACACCAGAGCTTTTGGTACAGTTTCGATCTGTACTTAACTTATCTTGTGTTACAGACGCTGCATTTTGGGCAGCATGTCTGATAGCTTTTTTGGTCTTCTGCGTGCCAACAATGTACTGGTTAAGAATACTTTTGACCCTGCACGGGATTTACGAAGAGTTGACGATTTACGAAGAGTTGACGCCTTGTGTCTTTCCTGGGGAATTTTGATCGATGTTCGGTGTACCAAAACTATTCAATTCAGGGAAAGAGAGGTACAAGTATTATTGCCATATATAACTGGCCATCCACTATGCCCCGTGACTGCCTTACAGTCATATTTTGCATTAAGTCCTGCGAGTGACCTCCTTGGCCCTTTACTATGTGTTCAAGATGGCATTCCACTCAAATATTGTTACTTTATGGCCAGAATTAAAGAAATTTTGATCGCTCTTGGTAAATCAGAACTAAAGGTTAGTGGCCACTCCTTTCGCAGGGGTGGTGCTAATTGGCTCAATGAACAAGGTTTTGCTGATAAGGACATCCCAGCCTTATGTTATTGGTCAATGATTGCTTCAAAAGATACTTGGATGTTAATATCTCAAAGCAGCTTTCTCTCTATTTTAAGTTTAGTACTTCCTGGATGGATGATGACTAGCAACTTTCACTTTTTATTATTATTATTATTATTATTATTATTATTTCCTTTTGACTATCATTATTATTACAACAACTTCTGGGTTGGAGTTAATTTATCATTATTTATAATTAAGTTAATTTATATTTTATTTGTATGTGTAAATGTATGTTAATGTTTTGGCTTAATCAAAGTCATTTTCCCATTCAGTAATTGCTATCTGCCTTGCATCCTTAATGTCACCAAGCATGGTTTACTAAACTTTTTTATACAGAGATTAGAACTGAAAGATAGCCATTTGCCTTGAAACTATTGAATTTGAAAGAAATAATTGGAATGTTTGAATTATTTGTAGGAATTATTAGAAATGAGAATTATAAGAGAAACAAATAACTTAAATATTCAAACTCGGAAGCCGAGAGGAGGAGAGACGGATCGTTGCCAAAAGTATTCACACAAAGTCAATCTTGAAAATAAGGCGTCGACTTTACAAAATCATATTTCCACATTACACAATTACAAAATACACCGTTCTAAAATCAACAAGTCAATCTACTAATTACAAAGTAGATATATTCATAGTTTACTTTTCAAACTTTTTTCACATCAATCTAAAAGTCAACATTCAAACTGTTTTTTTCGAAAATGAATCTTGCATTATTGCCATAATGAACTATGTCTTCTTCACTTTGCATTCTTGAAAGATGCAAGTTCTACTACTGTATTCTTGAGAGTTGTAAGGTCAACATCTGCATTCTTGAACATTTACCATATAAGGTACAATAAAATGTAGACTAAATATTTAAAGATAAAAGCGGAATATTATTTTTTTTTTTTTGGACAGTGAAGTTGGTTGGTGTGGTTTGGTTGTTTAATATATATTCTGTTTTCATGTTCAACTGCTATTCTCTTCTATATGTTTCAAAACATCACAATTTTCTATTTTATAACACAAAGCAATGTAGCCTAGACTATTCATATTTGTCATCAATCAGCCTTGTAGCTGAAACATGTTCTCATTATCGTTTGCTTTGAGTATGAAACAATGGTATTGAGTTGCTACTTTTAAAGGGGACTACATTTGGAGTAACTTTTTTGCAAACATTTTTTTTAGATGTTTTATATCACAAAATGGTGTCTAATTTGGTTTATGTTGAAATTTATAGGAAATTGTCTCGAAATTTCAATATCGAGTGTCAATTGATTTGAAAGAAAAAAAATACTACCCTAATCGATTACTTCACTAGACACGTGCCACCATAAATAAGAGTTAAGTTTTGTTCTTTTCTAAGTAGCCTAATGTGAAATTGATCTGTGAATGTTTCACGATCACGAAATATGTACACACTCTCACAATTAAACTGATATTTATGGTTTTGTGCACATGTATACATCATCAATGATACACCACACTCCCTCAAGCCCGAACATAGGAATCTCATCAAGCATAATACAAAGACCAACGACAAACAACAACAAACAAAAGAAAAACAAACCTAGCACCAGAAGTCGGTGAACGAAGCACCACAATGCAATCAACAGTCAAAGCACAAGGAACACAATAGCTCATGCACCATGCTTCTATGGCCAACAAACCGCACTGCTGTGAGCAGCATGCCATCTCCCATCCATCGCCAGTGTTGCCCTTCATCATCAATCCCAGCGAGCTACAAGACGCCAGCCTCCATAACACAAATCAAGCACAAGAGCAGTACGTCATAACAGTGCTCCTACCTATCTAACATTCTAGAAAATACATATACATAAGTACCTTTGTATGAGATGGACAAGTTTATGCTAACCTGATCAAGATGTAAAAGGCACCGAAATAAATATATTATATATAGAAAAAAAGTTGGACAAAAGTGAGTAAACGCGACTCATTTGATGAGTCATATTCAAAAACTCGCCTCGCTGAATCCATTGATTCAGTTTCTGTTTAATTGTGTCATAATTTAGTCATTAAATGACTCAGTATCCTTTTTTTTTCTAAATCTTATTAAATGTTGGTACAAATATCAACTCAATTATAGCCTACCAGTCGATATAAATATATATTTTTCTACGTATATATTGATTTCTGTGTTACTGTAATTGGGAAGGCCTAATTAGTAGGCCTCTATGATTGCTTCTCTCTGCTTATTCGGAGGGTATCCATATTTTAGTTATATTTAACTTTGACAACTATTAATGAGTCACGCCTTGGTAAATTTGTTTAAAGCATTGTATGAGTCATATCCGAGTCGTTTCGGAATTCAGTATTGTGGAAAATTGTGAAGCAACGCCAGGGGCAGACAAATAAATCAAAAATGAGAAGATTTTGCAAATGAAGACTTGATTGAGTCACGTCTGAGTTACCCTGTGGTAGATTAGTCATAGATGAGTCCTTCCGCGTGAAAGTCGTCTGCAGAAGCCTTCAGGATTACTCAAGGAAATAATTTAAACTAAGCCATCAGACATATTAGTTGGTCGGTCGAATTTGATGATCGATTTCAACTAATTAAAAAAATTCTATAAATATGCTAAATTATCAAAGATTTAATCGATGATACCTCGTCTACGTCAGACATTTTGAAATGAACGGACGACTTTGATGTCGTCTGCTTTGACTTCTCACACTATCCTTATCAACCTCAGCTGTTTCAAAAACGATGTACAGTTTTCTTACTATATTTTTATTCTAGATAATGAAATGGCATACGTCAACTATATAACCATGTGCCAATGTGCCAATGCTATCGTGCAGGAGCCGCCATCTTGAAAAAATGAGAAGTTCTATATAGTTGGTAGAACGGGCCAACTCGAGCCAGAACGTTAGTAGAAGCGATTAAACACCAAAGTTACTGCTTACAAAATCTACAACCTCCAAAAATACTTTCAGAACTCAGAGATTCTCCACCCAATTGTCGAAGTAGTGAAATAAGTGAAATTAAAGGCTAATCCCACTGCTTGGATAGAGTTCAAGATGACAACTGACTATACTCGCCTATCACGTGACTTATCAGCGCGTGCTAACTTATATAATCAGATAGATCCCGGAAACTTTATAATTATTCATTAAAATGCAATTAACTATTGAAAAACGATTAATATTAAGATTAAGCGTTTTTCAATATTTACTTACTTTTATGAATTTTCCAATTTTCTAGATTTTACAGGGATTCTGTTTTAACTTTATGACACCAGGTAAGTTCACTGATGCATGAATACTCATATTGACCAAATTAGAGAAATCAGATTTTATGTTAATTCTAAGACGTAGTATCCCTTTAAGAGCTGGTGGGTTTATAAAAGCCAACCGCCTACCGCTGCCAACCGGCATACCGGGGTGAAAAAAAGGCTCTAAAATGAGCATTGTTAAATTTAAGGATCGTAGATTTTTATCCACTATATATCGATGATTCTGTTGGATTAACAGGAGGAGCATTCGCAGAATTATTATAGTCTACGTGAAGGATTAATTTTGAAAACTGATTTCAACCAATTAATTAACTGGTTAAAAGCAACTTCATGTTTTGCATTGAATTTTTAATTATATAAGATGATCCTATGTAATAATGATAATTTATCATGTTTGAACATAGAAACAATAATGGTATAGGTTAATAATAATGAAATTAATTGTCATATAAATGTAATGCATACGAAATAAGAAATTAAATTAAAAGTTAAAGTTATTCGGGTAGAATAGTATTAATTGAAGCTTAATTTTATTTGGTGCACATTACACAACAATACACAATCAATGCATTAATCGTTCTTTTTTTCATTTTCATCGATTTAATTTTGTTTTGACCGAAACTCAGTATTATATTGGGAGACAAAAATTTGCAAAGTAGGGTAAATAAACAAGACAGGAGGATAAATATTAACACGTTGGGGGATTCCTATTGTTCTAAACTTTATCTCTAAACAATTGTCCTTTTGGCACTGTCCGATTTGATTAGACCAACCAGTGTTTGTTCGGACTTCATTATGATAATTATAAAGAAGAGAAAGAAATAAGTGGGAGTGGGAAAAGACTGCAACCATTCATTCTTCATAAGTTGACACTGAATTGCAGATAAGGAAGTCATCAACTAAAATGGAATGAATGGGATGGACAACCATAAAATACTTGAATCGTTGGTAGCTAAGGCTGGGAGGTTTAGAGGAACCGAATGTTTCCTAGAAACGCCACTGATAATGTACCCAATGACCGTTCCGAGACAAAAGTCGTTTATTGAACACATCAACATTAAATAGTCGTAATTGTATATTCATGAAATGAAAAGAGATATTATAGATGGCATCTTACTCGTTAAATCGTGAAAATAATAACATAAATGAAATAGAAAAAAATATGTTTCTGAAGTTTCAATTAGAATTATAGAGGCAATACGAAAAATTTAATCACGATTCCGTTTACACGGTATCACGCAATTTGATTGGATAACAGCGGCCACGTGCATTCGGTTTATATCTGTGAAAACAGAATGTAAATATAAGCTTGGCTCCTTAAAGGTGGGTTTATACAGAGCGCGAACGCGAACGCGACCGGCGCGAACGCGACCGCGAACGCGACTTTTCATCAGTCCAGTCATTCAAATAGAGCGCGAACACGAACGCGGAAAACCGTCGACGGCTTTCAATGCGGATCGCCTCTTTTGTTGTTAAAATTTGGTCATATGGTCATTTTGGAATCATCTCTCCGATTCCCTTCCAAATATCTATCTTTTTTACTGCCTCTTTGTAAGTTTTTTCAGCTGTCAAACAAAACTGGATTCTTTTCAACTTCTGAAATCAAAACTTCCGTTTTATCCATTGTTTGTACCCTACAAGCAAATTGGAAAAGCCATGTGCACAAGTTTCTATTTTAGGAAATGATGCATGGGAGGTGGTAGAAGCTGATTGGTTGATAGCAAGAAATCCGCCGCGACTTTCTGAAAAATTCGCTCTTGGGGCAATCTCGGCGGTCGACCGCGCGAACAATTTGTTCGCGTTCGCGTTCGCATTCTATTTGAACGGTCCCTCTATAAAATGATCAAACCATTCCATGACGAAAAACCGCGTTCGCGTTCGCGTTCGCGTTCGCGTTCGCGCTCTGTATAAATGCACCTTAACGGACTACTTTAAACATTGATTTTGTTTGACGTAGCCACTACACGGCGTCGATGTCGTTCCTTCGAACTTCAACAATGCCGAAAGCGACACATCACTGAATGATAAAGGTATTGCTAATCGTTGTAAAGGTGCATTTATACATAAATTACATAAATATTTATTTATTTGAGTTGATTTAATCATAAGGAATGACCTGAACATTTTTTCAGTTTATCGATGTATATACAGAAAAAACCTGTGTACAATGTAGTAAGTGTAGAGTAAATGTAGAAACCGCTACTTGGTTACTCGCACGAGATCAGTAAGTGTCCCTTTCATTTGAGAGTACGTCTTATGTGGATGGATTTGGAAATTTTATGGATAAGAGGCGTGTCTTCTGTTACGGAAGGAAATTTGCTATATAGACATTTTATGTAGCCGACTTGTGCAAAAAAAACTGTTCTATTCCATGAGAGTAACCTCTAATAGAAATTTGCATTTCGACAGAAGTCCCCTCTCCAATAGACTTGAGAATAACTAAATATTCAACGTTGTCGCGGCGATATATTAAAGTTTCTTACGAAGAAAAAAGTAGACAAGGTTGACGATACTATACGTCCACTTTATAAAGAAATTATCATATGAATTATAATATAGTAATATGAAACTTTGATATAATGAATGTCAAACATAGTTTTCCAGCAGTGGCGGCGCCATCCTCCTGAAACTGGGGTCACAAAATATTGGGCAGATTGACGTAATGGGGGACAACTGCCCAGACTGAGATTCAAAATGCATCAGCTCTGTGGAAAGCTCATAGATGCAAGCCCCCCGAGGAGCCTCTTAGAGGATTCCGTAAGAAAATTTAGGAAAATGAATTTGATGCATAGTTTTTTTTATACGTGTTTGTGCAAAAATGTGTTTTTTGATTTGTTAGAAATGAAATGGAGTGCAAACAGGGGTACAAACAAAACAAACATTTTGAACTTTTGGAGTGATACTGAACAATATTACCAAGCTTTGTAGAAATCCGACATGAATCGAGCTATTTAGTGCTATTTAATACGTTTAAAAGATTGAGGTCAATAATTCAAAGATAGCTTGCCAGACAAGGCAACATACGCCGACCACCAGCTGAAGATAAAGTCTTTAGTGACTTTAAATAAGTTTTGTCATCATCTTAACAGATATTTTACATATTATACAAGTCAAGGCAAAGGTAAAAAAACATTTTATCAAATTATCAATTATCATTAAATTCAAACATCAACAAGGTCTCATCAAAATACACCTTTACTTCAAATTGCATCAAAATGGGATTAACACGGTAGTCTCTATGATCTTTGACGATATTTTGTTTTTTTTTAAGAAATCGTTAATTTGATTGTTAATTTCTAACTTTTTGACACAGAATCCAATGCTGAAATCAATGGAACCAGTAGTTTCGAACCATATAAGTTTGAGCCACTAGTTTCCGATGAAGAAGAAGTTAGCGGTACCGATGATGGCAATATTGTGAGTGAAGTCAACAAAGAAAATGAACACGAAAGTCAAAGGCTTTATTCATCGGACTGGTTAGTATCAACCAAAAAAATAAAACGCCGAAAAACAACACAGATGGCAAGCGTTTTATTAGCAAATATGAAATTTAGGCAAAAATATGGGAAAGGTCTAGTGAAGCAGAACAATATCCTTAGTAGTTGAAAGGGGGTGGGTGTTGCAGTCGGTCGGTTGATTACCGATTTTACATCTACTCTCATCAGGTCTATATCTTTTGTTGTAAAACATTATTATGAATCTGGTTGATGTCTACATAAATACAAGTATTCAAACATTTTATTTTGAGGTGCTCCTGTGGCAACTGCATCATCATGTTGACAGTGGAGGAGTGTATATGCTGCATGGAAATTGATGTTGTAGCACATAAATGCGAGGAAGATGGATTCAATTGCATTCTACAGCATCCTCCTGGATTTGAACCAGTTTGTTTGAACTCATTTGACTTGGAAACGGCATACCTACAGTACAGGCAACAATATGGAGATACAGAAGAGACTGGATCAGGGTATGTTAATATGTATGTTTGAATACCAATTGAACTCACTCTTGTAGCTGTTTTGTCATGCAAGCCAATCAAATTAATGTCTCATTCTGCTCTGTGATTTTTTGAATCTTAAAAACGTACAGTTTGTAATTTCTTTCAGGCGTACCCGTTATACAGCTTACAGACAGTTTGCTAGATGGTGTTAGGAATATTAGTCGCAGCCTCCTTTATTGGTAAATCTGCAAGCCAATCAAATTAATGTCTCATTCTGCTCTGTGATTTTTTTAATCTTAATAACATAAAGTTTGTCATTTCTTTCATGCGAATAAAAAAAAAGTTGTTATCTGAATTTTCATTTATTAGTAAATCGTGAAGTTTTCATCTTCACAGCTTCCTCTTTTTGTGGTTGGAAATAAGTAGAACATAATGGTGGTGGCACATTCACGTCTATTCTTGTTCTTTACAAAGCCTGAAAAATACAAGGTAACTAATATAGCTCAGAAATATGGAACATTTATGATTTAACTCCTTTAGGCCATATTATAGTAATACAAAATAAGTCCTCTTACCCTTAGAACATCTCTTTTGTGTTACATACTAGTGCTATTTTCGGGTAGATTGATGGTACCGATCCAGGAAGAAGTTTCTTACATTTTTCGGTGAAGTCCAATGCCTGTTTGATTTTGTATTTTGGTCGTAACATTCAGAAGCAAAGTGGTCTTCACATATGGTTTGGTGTCTCATTTGTTGAGTAAAGTCGGCCCTCGTTAGATTAACAAACCGTGTCCAATGAGCCCTCAACTTTCGGAAATTTATGTACTGGAACACCATCTTTGTTGGTATTACTGCACCCCGCTACAGCACATCGCGCCGGCATGATAAAAACTTATCAAAAACAAACACAAACACAAAATTCTACACGCTTTCGTACTGTAGGTTAGAACTTCCGGCTCTTCTCGCTTACGCCGACTACGTCACGAGGGGGGATTCCTTAAAATCCAATCAGCAAGGTATATCATTCGGAATATTCGTCTTTTATCGGCAATATCTCGGTAACGCGTCGGAGCACGATTCTCAAATTTTCTGTGTCTTTAAACGCGATAGGGACGATTTATTTAAGGCAAAGTTGTCAAATCTCTGGACCCTTTCTTTAACTAAGACCTTATCAATATATACTACATACCAGTTCCATTAAAATGGATTAAAATTTGAACTTCTATTGTGTCTACAAGCCAATTTGACACGTTTTTACTAAATCAAGGCCATTTTTATTCTAAAACAAATTGTAACATAATTCAGATTTTAACAAGATCTTATAAATATACGTTTATATCGTTACGACAAGCCAAATTTGACGCGTTTTTAATAAGTCAAGGGCAATAACTCCAAAACCTTTCATCCGATTAATACGAAATTCGAAATTGATCGAGATCTCAATATATACATGTACATGCATAACAAGTTCCATTATGATCGGATAAAACCTGAAGCCTCTATGATGGATGGACAGAGGCGGCGGCAATATAAAAACTGTCCCCAATTTCTCTATTTACGACTTACCCATCGTGGCCTGACCAGTATTCCTGAGGGGGCAAACGTGCAATCGAGGGGGGGGGGGGGGGGGGGGCAATTTAGCAAAGCATCTTAACAGACGATTAAACGTCGGGAAACGGACTTTCATGGAGTATTTTAGATTTGAGATTATTTTTGTTAAAACACACAAGTTATAATACATTACATTTTTATTGCCGTTTTAGTTTAAACGTAGTCGGGTATGTTTTATTGCAAAACGTTGAACAAATACGTCCAAGTTAATTTTCTGGGTACGCTTCCTATTGAAGGCAAGAAGAACAAGATTGCGCTGGCGAAGCGAGTCATAGATCGTCGTTGTGGTGAGTCAACGCGAGTAAGAGTTGAAAAGCTGCTTTCACACACAGCGGTACTAGAACGCTTGCAGCCAGTGCATATAATTTAGGGAAAGCCAATTTCTGCTCGTATAGTTTTTGAAGAACAAGATTGGAGTCCTGATTTTCTGTCTTGGCAACGTTATCTTGGAGAAATTGTTTTGACACCTCAATTGTTATGCTTCTCGAGGCCCTTTCCAGTCACCTACAGCATGCTTCCAATCTGTGTAGCCTTCAGTGATGAATTTTTATGCACCCGCAGATGTATTGTGAAACACCCGACATGGAAATAAAAAAGTTGCGTCCCTTGACACTGAATACTCCAGCCATGGAAATCGATCATTCTCGGTTGCTTTGAACGTCTTCTTTTCCAATGCCACCTGGTACTCCTGTCTTTTTAGAGCATCTTGGTACTGCATCCGTTGTGTTGCCCGCTGTGGTTTTGATACCAATGTCAGTCGTAGTAGTGTCGGAACCATCAAGCAATTTTTTTTTTTGATCAAATACTTATCCATTTTTCCTACGTTTGGTTGTTTGATTCATATGAATACAATTTAGCATAATATATGTCTATTAGTATTTATAATCAACCAATAAAATGTTTTGAATTTTGAGACGGGACAGATTACAATCCAGTATCAGACCAATAATTTTGTTACCAATGACGCTTTACTGCAGACTTTTTATGATTTTCAACGAACTCAATTGTATCAAATTATCTATTCTAATGTAATTAAATTTAAAAATGTTATGAAAAGCTATGATGTATGGTTTCATCCTCAGCTAAGTATAAACAGAAAGATATTTAAAAACAGTTCTTAAGTAGGTCTACAGATAGGAATACTTAGTATTTTGTTGAACCATTTCGCATAACGCAGCCCTGAAAGCCATAACCTTATTTTTCGTTACGTTAAATCAAAATATCGAAATACTCATCATATGATCGACAATACAAGAGCAGCTGACTGGTGCACTTACTCCACCATAAAAAAATGCCTGACCAGAATGACCACTGTTGGCTATTCAATCAGACTCAGTTACCTGCAGCTCCTATTTACTCAGGAAAAATAAAAGGTGTATTTTAAAAAAAGTGACCGGTACATTTTTCTAAGTGGGTGGGGGGGGGGGGGCAAGATTTGATTTAGGGGGGGGGGGGGGGGGGGAGG